AGTCACTGTTTAGTCACAAAGAGAAAAAATAAAAACCCTGAAGGCATTGCATGGAAAGCAAGGTATTAACCCCAAAGCAGCTAAAAGTTTGGGGAATGTAGGGGGAGAATAAAACAACCAACGAGGAAAGAAGCCTCCTATGTGATAAACCTGCAATAAAAGGAAAATGGTCTAATATGGAATGAAACTGAAGTAGTTCCAAGACTGTATGCTCTAAGAGTTTTATATTATTTGGGCACCTAAGAATCGGCAAGCTGGATACGTGGGACAGACTGCTGCATAGCTTGTTCCGAAATGCAGCAGCCACAGTGGCAATTTCCCTTGTGGGGGGCCTGCTGAAGCTCACAGCCCAGCAAAAAGACACAACATTTAAAAAGTCACAGTGATGACACCTGGTCAGCATGGGGGCCACGCTGCTGACCACCAGGGCGGTCTGTGTGCGGGTTTGCATGGCTACCACTAGGGCTTCCATAGCAGATGAGAGGCCCCGTTTGCAGTGGGATTGGAGGGAGGTCGGAAGAAAATAAACTTATCTCAAAACAGCTTTTTCTGCAGCCTGAAATTCTCCCTTGTCGAGTTATTCTTTTGGCCGGTGGAGAGTCTCAACAGGCTCTGTTAACATTTGTTAACACGCAAATATGTCACTTTGAGAGAGAGGACACATGGTCATCAAAAGGATGAGGTTATGAGATTATCCGTTACACAAAAATAAGTTTCAATGGTTAAAAGGAAAAAGGAAGGGAAAGAGGGACCCCATTCCGAGTTCCAGTCTTGTAGTGAGTGGTGTCATGGTGAGGCGCCCCTGGACTGTAGGGGGCAGCAGGAGATTCACCTTGTCTGTTGTGAGGGAAGAAACTCCAACAGAAAGAGAAGGGGGAAGTGGATAAGGGCTTAAGGCCAGAGGAGCGGAAACCCCTGACCTACTTCCAAATTCTGCTTGAGCCAGATTTGGCACTGCTCCCGCAAAAAATAAACATGAGGTATAGGAACATTTTGGCCCCTTTACACAGAACGCATGCTTTGACTTATTTCCCTTTCCTATTTGAACCCAAAGCAGCCTAAAAAAATGGTTCCCTCCAACCCCCATTCCCTGCAACCCCATTGCCCCATCCTCAGCACACACTATCCCTTTGGTTCATTACCATCTTTCATTTTCTTTAGGAGTGCTTTTAATTAGATGTTAAATCACCAAGAGCACCTAACAATCTTTACAGCTTTATTTTGGAATACTTTCTCCCCCAGCATATGGCAGAACTACCAACTATTATTCTCCTTCTTCAATGTTTTTTGAATTCAATTATTTATTGCTCATTCTAAGCCTTCATCATCAACTTGGACATGCACACACATGCAAACACACACGCGTGCACACACACACACACACACACACACACATACACACACACATCTGTGATGAGAAGCCAGACTAGTATGCACACAATGCAATGAAATCTGGCAGCTATAATTCCAAAGAATGAATATTTTCCAGTTGTGGTAGGGGACCAATCATACAGAAAAGAAACCAGCTGTTTCATGTTAGTTCCTGATGGGACTTTTCACACAGGCGCTCATGTTGCAAAATTAATTTTCTGTTAAGACATATTGTGAGAGCATGGTGTCATCTGTGTTCCCCTCTCAAATCCCCAATTCTTTCTGGGAAAATAAGAATGATCCACGTAACGGTCAGTTAGCCCTGTGTAGCTGTGTCCTGGTTAAATGCCAACTTTGATATTATAATTTAGCTATTTAATGGTTTTCTTCACTAACCATATTGAACAAAGTGTTCTTCACAACCAGACTGGGAAGGATAAGCCTTTAGTTCATTTTTTCTCAGACATCTGCTCACTTGGTGCTGAGCATGTGCACACCAGTGCTTTCTCCCAGCCTCACAGAATCCTCATTCCCAGGAATTCCAGCAGTATTCTGAGGGTATTCAGTCAGGCAAGATTCACTTCCTGAAGCTGGCACTTTGGTAGTAAAGTGAATGTTTAGCATTTCTTACATGAGGGTTTCTATTTATTTCTAAACTACACGCGATGCCTGTTGAATGTTTTGGTGAGAGAGCTGCTGGCTTGAAGTAAGGAGAGAAGAACTGGGAGTGCAGTGTCGCTTGTAAACCAGATGAGTTACCATCTGTTTCAATGAGCACTTTCTAGAAATCTCCAGAGGCCTTGTCCCGCGTTCTCCAAACAATGTAATCCTGAGGTTTCAGCTGTATTAAATGAATGGTGCGGCATTCAAAATTTTCTCTAAAGCCTAGAGTTCACGACTTCACCACCAATAGAAAGCTTCATTTTTAAAAACATTTAAGCTGCCTTCTTGAGTTCTGTGACCTGCTATTTTTCAAGAGTACCCCAGTCCCTAAAATTCATCCCTCAGAAAACGAGAGGGGGGCTTAATTCAAGTACATCACCATGTTGGCTGGGTTGCAGGCTCCTTTGGAAAAGAGTCAAAGTTTTTCCATTTGACAGAAATGCATGTAAATGGTTGATTAAAAAAAATACTTTGGTTTTATATTTAGATTAACATTTATGTCATTTTGGGATGATTTTTATTAAGGGTTAGATCAGAAAACAAGTGCTGTGTTTCCTCCTTTTATAGCAATCACATACAGAAAGCTGTTGATCTCAATTTGTTGTTCTTCAATTTGGAGGGAAAGTGCCATTTTGTTAAGTAGGTGACTTCTGAACAGTAGTGTAGCTGGAAGAGCTCGTTTAGAATCACAAGCAGAGAGAAGATATACAGCTTCCCTGGGTGCTGACTTTCCTGGCCCATGCTTGCAGCTCTTGAGGAGCAAAACACTCAAAGAATCTGTTACAAACCTCCAGATGTCCCGTGACCCATGTGGGGTTCATTTTACTAAGGAAATAAAGCAAAACTAAATAAATAAATAAATAAAAGTACTCAGAGCAGCTGAAGGAGAGAGGTAATCTGAGGTCATTGCTACACTTGGTCAATTAGTGTGAGTCACTCAGATGGAAGAGAGAATACAGAGGCCTCAGAGGAAGAGTTTATTTTAAAATGCCACACAAAAGGATAAGACAGCGTGGTCTTCTCTGAGCAGCTAACTAATGCCTCCAGACAGAGGCTGGCCCACTACGACCCCCACGGGCCAAATCTGGCCCACCGCCTTTTTGCATTATCTCTGGCTGCTTTCATGCCACGACAGCAGAGCTGAGTCGTTGCAGGGAACTTACAGCCCATAAAGCTTACAATATTTACTAGCTGGCCCTCTACAGATAAAGTTTGCTGACTCTGGTTCTAGCGAACATGCCTGGAAGTTGTGTGTGCTATATATAATATATTAGGGTAACTTAAGGACAGAGTGGAAAAGTCATCTAACTATAAAATTTAAAAACCGATAATACTAAGAGAAACGCCTTTCATTGTATAGTATCTTTACCTTCTTTAAGTACTTTCAAACATATTCTTGGAGTTTGCTTTGAACAGACAGTTAGGTTATAACCAGATCAAACAGAGACAAGGTCCATGAAGATCTGGGTGCTGTGACTGGGTGGAGGGTCAATGGTTCCTCGCTGAATGATAGCTGGAGGTCATGGTCTTCTTTCAAGTCCCTGGCGTCTTATGCACCCTTGGGCTGTTGTATTATATGTAGCACGTGGCTTCAAATTCAACAATTTTAGATTAGGATAGTGTTAAGAATCGTCATTTAATTTTACACAACTCAACAATCAGTGTCCAACCAAGGACTTGGAATAGGAAAAGGACGCAGAAGATGTGATCAAATTTTAGAATCACGGGCGGCCAATGAGATATAAGGAGCATGTTATGGAGCCCGGGCACTGTGGATGTGTTTTGTTTTGTCCTGTATTTTCCCTTTTTAGCACCCTGATTTTCCACTGGGAGCCACAGCTCTTCAGTTCTCAGTTCCTGGAGATCAGCTGGAGCTCGCCCCACTGCTAGCTCTGTGGTAGGACCATGACTTGGGCCTGGCTGGGGGAAGACTCCGTCCCTCCTAGTCACAGCAATTGGTGCAGGGACAGGTACATGACACGACCCAGCTAGTGAGAATTAGCCCTTGGCCTTTTACTAGGACTACTGGAGACACAGCACTCCCTCAGATCACAGGGGCTAAGGACTATGTGAGCTTGGAGCGGCCAAGGGATCATCTTGCTGCTACATGGGGAGGTCATGCCTGAGAATAAAGCCAAGAATAAGCAGAATAAGAGGAACAGAAAGTGAGGGAGGAAGAGAGAGAAAGAGAGAGATAAACTGAATTCTGGTAACATCGTTTGGGCTCAGAGCTAAATTTGCCTAACAGAATCTTCTGGAGTTTTCATGTACATTAGTCAGTAAATTCTCTTTTGTCTTTATCTAGTGTGACTAGTTAGTTCGGGTTCTGTCACTTGAAACCAAAAATGTTCTGATTGATTCCCTGAGAACATTTTTATACTGATAATAACGTGACCTTTACTAATACATATTTCATTCCAGTTGTGAACATAAGCAAATGTGCAGGACTCAAAGCAAGGTCTTCCATCAAAATCTGCTGCAGAGCAGGGCAAGACAGGATGAAAACCGCCCAGTGGAGCATTTCTAAACTCCAGTCTTAAAGATCTCCAAGCATGGGATTCTATCACTAAGCTCGTGTAAGATATTTCTGAGTTTTGTTTTCTTTTATAATGACAAAGCTGAAAACTAGTTTTTACTTAGTAGCATTCATGATATTAGCCTTCCAGAGATTTGTCAAAAATATCATTTGGTGAGGTTTTGTTCTTTGGTGAGGTTGTGTTCTACATCATTCATACACTTTCAGGCCAACTTCAAGCATCAATAAATTATGTGTATCGGGTTTCTTTTTATTCAAACACGTTCTCTTCTTTTTTATTCCCAAGATATATGCTTCTGCCTGCAGGGCTTGAAAAAAACGGCTGAAGAGTTGTTCTGTGATGTTTACGTACTAAATAAACAACAGTTTCCCTCTGATGCTTTTACCTATAGAACAGTGCCATACATTGTTTCCAAGTTGAATTACTCACCAGTTGTGTAGCTCAGCAAAGGCAGCTTTGATCTTCTTCACTGAACTATCCACCTCTTCCTTGATCATGACGCGGTATCTAGTTAGAGACACAGTGCAGCGTTGCAAATCCTTCACCGATTTCTCAATATTTGGGCCTAAAATTAATGTCGAGGAATAAAATGTTAAACTGAGTACTTTATCTTTTTATTTGTGAGCTGAACAATAACAACAAAAAACCCAACTAGCTCACCCCTACCCCCAATAAAAAAATTTGTTGTTTTGTTTTTCAATGAAAAAAAAAAAAGTTCTGTCCAGAGAATGTTTATAACCCAGGGTTTTAAAAATCTGGAGTGGGTGGTTTGTGCGGCCCGAGACTGCTCTGATTTCACCAGTGGGTTCTCTGGCTGGGCTGTCCTGGACACACGTGTCTCCTTTGCTCTTAGGAAAGAGGTTCTGATCATGTGTTTCATCACACGGAGCAGTTTCTTGGAATCTGATATGTCTAAAGACCATTTGTGCTGCTGGCTCTCTCTGGGAACACCACTCTGCATGGTTAAAAGCCAGCAGGGCTTTGGAAAAGGAAAATGACATAGAGATTGGGAGAGGTACAAATGAGCTAGAAAGAGGACGGAGCATCAGTGCCAGGTACTCTGGCTCTGGCCCCATCTGTCCCGAGCCAGGCCTGTAATTATAGCAGCAGCACTTAAAGTGGCTCTGTGGGTGCCAATCTTGCCTGATTTCCTGAAATTGTCACCAGGCTCTACAGATAGTGCAAAACAAATAGGCAAACTGTATTTATCCCAACAAGGGCATGTTTCTTAGAAGAAAGAAATCTCTCTCAAGAAAAGCGAGAAAGTATATCAAACCAAAGCCAAGGAAATCAGATACAACTGAGGCTGAATGGGAGTAATATTATTTAACCTTCTGGGAATCAGAAAGGAAGTGTTTTAGCCCCTCTCATTTTTAATACCAGTTATGTGTATAAAGCATACCAAAGCTTTAAAAATAACAAAAATATAGTGTTCCAAATATAAAACCCTCTTTCAGTGTTATAGTGTCTGCATGTTCTAACAGAACTGAAGTCACGTGAAGAAGATCATATCTGAAGAAGACATACCAGCCTCTAGACCAGTGGTTCTCAACCTGTGGGTTGCGACCCCTTTGGGGGTCGAACGACCCTTTCACAGAGGTCGCCTAAGACCATCGGAAAACAAAAAGATATTTACATTACGATTCATAACAGTAGCAAAATTACAGTTATAGAGTAGCAACGAAAATAATTTTATGGTTGGGGGTCACCACATGAGGAACTGTATTAAGGGGTCACAGCATTAGGAAGGTTGAGAACCGCTGCTCTAGACTCATCTTTGTTCACTGCAAGTTCAGAATTTGTAAATCAAGGAAACATTCGGCATTCGCATTTCTAAAAGAGCTCCTACATTAACATTTTCTTTATAAGATATTAGGGTAGACAGCATTTGTGGTGCAAATTTATCCATGATTACAAAGAGAAGAATGGCAACAGAGGGGCAGGGAAAGGGGATGGAATTCCACTTAAACATTGAAGACCTTTGGTTAACATGGGAGGGATCACATCTGCCTTCCTGTCTAAGTGGGTCACAGAGAGAAATGCAATCTCATGTGTCTCTCTCTACTAAGCAGCATCTTCTGGAAAGTTCTATCATTCTTCTCTGTGTGTGCAAAATATGTTGAATCATTTGTGCAAAAGAAACCACTTTACCTCTTTTCTTTGCCAGCTCATCTGGCTTTATCTCAAGATGAGCTGCAGGGGCAATGGACTTAACAGGAGATGTTTTTGCCTTAGGCTTGCTTGGGTTACAGGGCTGCTCAGCTGACCACTGTAGGCCATCTGACCTCTCTGGTGTTCCATGTATAGGTTTGGGGTTCCCATCTAAGGATAGTTTCTGTTGCAGTGGTCTGTTGCCTTCTGTAAGAAAACACCAAATAATGACTGTGAAGTGATAGACTGAAAACATTGATGATAAAGTGATGGGGAATGCCAAGCTTTTTGTTTTTCTTTACATGTTGGTAATAATACCTTTCATTGCAAACAGTGCAGAAATTGTTTTAATAGACTCCCCAGTAGACTAAAGAATATACTAGAAGTAGAAAGAGCCTTGTACTTGGAGTCAGAAGACCTGGACAGGTGTTTGGCTCTTGTAATTATTTGCAGGGTGACCCTGGGCAAGCCACTTAACATTTCTGAGCTTTAGTTTCCTCACCCAGAAAGGTTATTAGGTGGTTTACATCAGATATGCGAGATGATCATTTTTTTCCCCCCATTCGGTAAAAGAGGTGTATGATTTCATATTGAGGCTCTAAAAATGTAGCCCTCCTATCTCCAAGTGTTACATTAATGTCTTGTGGTATTTTATTCTGACTTAATGAAGGCAGAAGAGTGATTGGAGATAGGGCAAGAATAAAGTGACAACAGGTACTATAATCATTTCATTTAATTTATGGAAGGATTAAATCAGGAAACATCATCATAATATCTCAACTATATTTAAAATCTAGGGAGTCAGATTCTCCCTGGAGCACTAACAGATGTGGCAATAAATTAGCAGCATGTTGCTTTCGGCACCTTTTAAAGGTAGGTTCCTATTTAGTTATTGCTGGAGTTAAATGACATCTACGTGGCCCAAAAAAGAAATGTATCACCCTTAACATCTTACTTAACCACAGAGAGCTTTGGGTGTGAAAAAGGGAAGCCAGTGTGCTTCTGAAGGCCAGGTTCTTGGAGAAAGCCGGGTGTAGTGGAAAGAGTGCAGGTTTGGATCCAGGAGACCCATGTTCTGATCTTCCCTAGATCCTGATGACTCTGTGGAATGACTTCACTTTTCTGGCCCACTGTGGCTCACACTCAAACAGAGCACATCATCATCTCCACGAAACCCTGCCCCTTTTCAGATAGTGACCCTTCCTCCCTTCTCTCTGTCCACCTGGTATTCGTAAAAACATAATGTGTTATATTTTAACACAGGACTTACATGTCTGCCCCCTGCTGCTGCCTTGAAGGGGCTATGACTTCCTCAAAGGCAAATACTAAAATATGATTCATTTCTCAAGGCCCAGTACTTGTGTCTGGATCAATAACTATCTGTAGAATTGTGACTGAAGTAAAGAACACTTAAAATGATTTCGTAGAAAACAAAAAAAGAAGCAAGGAACACCTTTCCCGACACTGTTACAAACTTTACAGAGACTGCACTCGGAAAGTGCAAAAGAATCTGATCTGGGTCCTAGTCAATTTGATTTTAGACATTAGTCCATTTATGATAAGTGTAAATTTCACTTTAGTTGAATCCATCATTCATAACCTACATATCAAGAAAGCACAACATACATTTTATGGGCTGAAGATGAGTACTCTTTAAAATATACTTAAAGGAAAATTACAGTACACAAGAAAATGTTCAGCAAATGTAGTGAACATGGTAATTAAGTACTGAAAACGGCACTTCCTCCAGTAATGAAATATTTAGTAAGATTAGAGGATGTACTAGAAATAGAAAGAGCCTTGTACTTGGAATCAGAAGACCTGGGTGGGTGTTTGGCTCTCGTAATTTCTTGCAGAGTGACTCTGGGCAAGCCACTTAACATCTCTGAGCCTTAGTTTCCTCACCTAGAAGGTAACGAGGAGGCTTTAGTTATACTAAAGTGGAACTTCACTCTAGGCAGTGTTGTCAAACTTTAGTGTGCATGAGTTCTCGCTTCGTACTCATTACAAATGCAAAATCCCAGAGGTTTGGATTTATAAGTGGGCCCAGGAGTCTACCCACCAAGTGATTCTGCTGGGGTGGAGAGGAGTGGCACCACCCACCTAGATAATTTCTACTGTTTGTGAAAGATGAGAAACTAATTCTTTGATGAGTCTGTAAATGTTTTGTTAAAACAGTGATTAAGTACAGGCTGGTTCCAACTCATTGTCTCTTTATATCATAGTTAAGACTCAGCCTTGATGAAATATTATAGAGAATCTAAAATATAACTATCTGTGCATAGTGTAGTAAATTAGTCTTATTCTTAAAAATAAGGGGATTTATATTATAGCCTAATGGAAATAATGGCCTAAGGGAAAAAATTATTCTGTTGAATGCAAAAGAATTTAAAATGGAAGACAAGCACACAAATGAGCATAGGCTCATTAACCCAGAGCTGAATATATTTTATTTGTGTATCAGAAAATTATTGGTTCATTTCATCATTCATTCAACAAGTATTTATTGAGAAATTTGGGAGGGGTATCCTGAAAAACTTTCTAATTATTGGTGGGATCATTGAACACTGGGATGATTTGAAATTCTCAAAGACTACTTGGATATAGTATTTGCACACTGACTAGACAGATCTGTTTCCAAATATAGTAAAACTCTGGAACTATTCCAGATGAAAATTGGTGGAGAGTTATTCAGCTATAACAGAATTAGGTTCATCTTGACCACAAATCCTGATATTTCTAGCAATTAGAATAATAGGAGTTCTCTCCTGGATACAGTGATTTTCCTCTAACATTACAGGCCAGAAGTACCATCAGCTCTTTGTCTTTCTGGAATCCACTTGTAAACGTGAATAGGCTGTAGCTGACTCAGAGTTGATTCATATTACTGTCCAATAAGATGGCCATTAGCCACATGTGGCTATTGAACATTTGAAATGTGGATTGTCTAAATGGAGATGTGCTGTACGTGTAAAATACACAGTGAAATTTGAAGACTTAGTACAAAAAATACCTCCTTGATAATTAAAATATTGACCACATATCAAAATGATATTTGGGATAAATTAAGTTACATAAAATATATCACTCAATTTAATTCACCTGTTTCTTTTTACTATTTATTTATTTATTTACTTATTTATTTTTTAAAGATTTTTATTTGGGAATTGGAGGATGGGAACAGCACTGGGGAATTGGGGGAAGGGGGGACAGACAAGTTGCTGTCCTTTTGTTCTTCAGTTTAGTTGTGGAGGACGTTGCTTCACTGGCCCAAGTTGGCACCATCACTGCTCTTCCCGGGCGAGACAGATCAGTCGCTGGCTTCTGGACGGCCACTCACTGCAGCTGCTGGCCGCTCACGCTGGCTGCTGGCTACACATGGTAGCCCATGGCAACTCACTGCCACAGGGGCTGCAGCCTACGCCGTCGCCAGTGTCACTGGCCCTCATATGTGGGATCCGAACCAGGGCCCTCTGGCGTCCCAAGCCAGCTCTTAACCATCGCGCCACTCGCCCGGCCCTCTTTTTACTTTTTAAAATTTAGCTACTAATATTAGTGTTTTTGCTTTTTGTAGAGCTCTTAAAATTTTCTACATAGGCAATAATGACATCAGTGAGTGAAGTTTAACTTCTTTCTTTCCAATATTTCCTTGCCCTATTGGGATGGTTGGGAAGCCTAGTACAATGTAGAATAAGCATCCTTGCATTGTTCTTGATCTTGGGGAAATGGCATTCAATATTTTATTATTAAGTATGGTATTAATTGTAGAACAGATTTTTTATATGTTTATCAGGAAGTTCTCTTATATTCCTGATTTGCTGGGAGTTTTTATGTTGTCAAGTGATTTTGTTTTGTTTTACCTATTGAGATAATTATATTGTTCCACTCCTTAATCTTTTTAATATAGTAAATTGCATTGACTGGTTTTTAAATATGAAATCAATGTTGCATTCTGGAGAAAAAGCACACTTGCTCATGGTGTATTTTTTTTTAAATATATATTGCTTGCTTCAATTTGCTAATATTTTGTTGAGGAATTTGCTTCTTTATTTATGACCAATATTACTGTGTAATTTTTCTTGTAATGACTTACGTTTTGATAAGGTTATGCTAGTCTCATTAAATGAGTTGAAAAGTGTTCCATTCCTTCTATTTCTATTTTTCTTTTTCTTTTAATCCTTTTCTCTCTGTTCTTCAGTTTGGATAATTTCTTTTGACCTGTCCTCAAGTTCACTGATCCTTTCTTCTTCATTGTCCAAATTGCTATCAAATACATCTGATGAGTTTTAAAAAAAATTTCAGATATTGTACATTTTAGTTCTAGAGTTTCCATTTCATTATTTTATCTCTCCTGAAATTCTCCTTCTCTTCACCCTTTATAGTCATCTTTCTTTTTTCCTGTAAAGTTTTTTTTTAGCATATTTATAATCCTTCTCTGCTGATTGAAACATCTGGGTTACCTATAGGTGTGCTTCTCATGACTAATCTTTCTCTTCATTATAGGTCACATTTTCTTGCTTCTTCCCATATCTAGTAATTTTTAAAATTGGGTATTGAACATTGTAGAAGATGCACTGAGAAATGTTGGATTTTGTTATTTTTCTCCAAATGCTTTGAATTTTGTTCTAATAGGTCATTAAAATACTAGGAGATCATTCTCCACTCTCTTCCCCCACCTTTTCTTTCTTTTTTCTACTTGAAGGTAAATGTTAGGGATCTTATAGAATAAGCTGGACTAGAAGAGGTGTGGATGGGATAGTGGTCTGTTTCTTAAAATATTTTCATTTAATTCTTCTGTTTTATACCTTTCTTCTTCAGCTTGCCCTCCATCCTATCTGCTGACTCTAAATCCAGAGCTTCCCCGTTTTCTGGTAGGCAGTCATCCTCCTCCCTGCTGAAGCTCCCTCTCTTGGAATTCTATGCTGCAGCTGCCCATCCTCTGCTTCACCAGTCAATTCTCTTCCATCTACTTTCCCTCTCCTATTAATCGAGGCCCTCCTTTTCTTTTTCTTCCTTATTGTACATTAAAAAGTTCATTTACTATAATTCAATGGGGTTTGTGATTAAGATATAAATTCATGCCTTTCTTTTTCTTAAAATGCTATTAATATGCATTGCTAAATTATTTTCCAGTCAGTTGGTACCCATTTATACTCAGCTGTAATGCATGAAAGTGTTCTCACAATTAACTCTTCCACTACTGACAG